CCAGTTTCACAAAGTTAACACAGCAGAGCTGAGTGTGATACTCAATGCCATAAATCCACATTCTCATAGAACTTAAAAAAAAAAAAAACCTTCCTGCCTTTTGCTGACACTAGCCATTGTGCAAACTTAAGACAAATCCTTGTATGTAGAAGAACCAGTCTCCTACAAACCTCAATCAACTTAAGGCAATACAGAACAGACCTCTTCCTTCCCTCAAGACAGTGCTTACATTCCAAGACAATGCAGGTACTGTGACAGATGTGGGTTATGACAGAAAATCTAGAGTTTCCAGATAGCTCCCCATTTAGCCCTGGTGCTCCAGGAAGCAGTGATGATACCACCAGGAAGAAGGGATGTGCAGAACACGTCTGAGGGCTGTTCCTTGTACAGTACGATGACAGACAGATGGCAAGGTGAATGCTCTTGGCAAATTATGTGCCCATCCAAGAACACAAACCAGATTCTGTCTCCAGTATCCATCCTTCAAGACTAAAGAGATTTTGTCAACAGGAAAATCAGTAGCTTACTAGAAGTGGTTGCCAACACAAAGCAAAGTCATGGAACAGAGGGAAAAGGCACAGAATGGCCTGCCCGAGATAGTGCTCTATAGAAACAGTCAAGTCTGGCTTGGCTACAGAAACCCAATCCCGCTGACTTTTAGTAAGTCCTGTTTCTGAACTAAAGTTTATTCATCCCACATTGAATCCCATCCTCATGTTCATTAGGAAAATGGACACTTAGGAATAGCCCATGAGTTACAATGTATAGAGATAAAGTCTTCTGGGGGATGGGTGTTGGGTTTATTATTATTAATAATTATTATTAATATTAAATATGGATGCCTATGATAGCAGTCATTTAGCCCATCCTGTAGAGGCCTCTCCGTTGATGTAAGCAAAGCCAGGAAAGTGTTGCATGTGCTCATACTCAGAATTCCTGCGCGTTGTCAGGGGTGTATACATGTCACTAGAGTTTCCGTACCTCGTGGAATGCACAGACGGGCTTGTGTAGCACGTGTTGGCGGAGGGCACCTCTGGCCAGCGGGGAGTGACTGGGGTAGGATGCAGTCTGGGAGTACTGCTCATCAAACAAGGTTCCATCCGGGAAGTGGGGCTATTAAAAGGGTACTTGTTGAGGGGAAAGAAATTCCACAAAGTAAAAATTAGCTTGAAGTTGCATATACACAATATCAGTCATGTTTATAGTTTAAGTTAAATTTCTTAAGATGCTATTAATGAGAGCTGATGGAGAGGAATCACTGAACTTCTGCAAGATTGAATCTTGGTCTTAGGGAAGTCAACAGGAGAAATGCAAAAGATTTCATAGCCTGAGTTGGGCTGGTGTTTACTCATGCGGTTATACTGGCTTTCTGTTCCTAATCTGCAATATCTTGGGAAGTCAAACCCAAAATGAGAAACAGCCACACCAGGAATACAGAAAAGTATGTGTTTGTCACACGCACAAATACACTAGTAACTGCATGTCCAGATAAATAAATATGGATGTACAGATGGATGGTAGTGAGTTTTATTGTTAGTTACGGAGATGTGATAGGTCCTAGTCCATCAACCCAAGAGCATAACACTGCCAAGTAAAATACAATGACGTTATTAAAAAATAACATTTTACAGTTGAATTCAATTATAAACTTCAGCCTAAAAGCAGGCTTTTGAAGAGGAAGCAAGTCAACAATTTCAAAGGTTATTATTAGTGCCTATCATTTAGAGAATGTCTTTCTTTTTGGCTCACATTTGCTGAACTCCTGGAAGATACACGAATAGGAATTGGACTTGGTGTGAATGTGGAGGAAAGAGTCAAGAGAAACCAATTGAGAGCGGTGGGGAGGGGAGCTTTTGTGCAGGTCAGAGGAACAGGTGTTAGTAGCTACAAGAAGAGGGGAAGTAGTTCTAGAAAGGATTAGGAGTAAGAGAAGTGCTTCTGAAGTGCTTCTTCTTTTACATTCTTTTCTGTTACCAAGACAGCTATGCAAATAAGCCCCGGTTAGTAGGATCAGAGGGGAGGAAGGAGAGGAGCTATGGGCTCCCTTTGAGAGCTCCCAGTCTGCAGGCCAGTCAGCACAAAGATTTCTTTGCTGTGCTGAGGGATACCCCACCAAGGACAGGAGCCAATCAACAAGGATGGCCAGAGCAGCGAGGAGGAGAGTGTGTGAATGTATGAATTCTTCTGCTCCCCATCTGTCTTCCCTGACAGTTGGAAAGTGGAGCCCCAGGGGATTAGATGGGAGGCTGCCTCCTATGAGGGAGACAGACAGGCTGAAGCCTAGACAGCAGGGAGAAGGGGCTATGACAACAATGGCTGCTCCCTGGAGTCTAGGTGGCTACAGGGAACTGCTCTTCCTCTGTGAGTGAGAGCCTAAGGGGAGCTGGGGCAGGTGCTTAGGCCTGAAGCATGCAAAGAGAACCAGCAATTCAGAGGTCAAGAAAGAGGGATCCTAATTCGAGTAGCGAGGGACTTTTCCCCCTACATAGGATGGCATGCCTTACATAGCAAGAGTACAGCCACTTCACAACCAAAAGAACAGTTAGAAAAGACGGAGAAGGGCGTAGGTGGTGTCTGGGAACTCAAGGGAGAAGGCACCAAGGGCTGTTGCCAAGGAGACCATGGACAGCACGCCAAGGCTTTCCTAATCCCAAATCAGATCAGAAACACTGGCACATACCCCTGTGCTCTGCATCATGGGAACCTGCAGGATGCTGTTTGTGTGGCAGCAGTGGTGGACTCTCAGGTCTGCACAATGGGATTCTAGCACAGGAACTGCTCTAAATCCCAGTGAGACCATAGTAAGATTGGGCCCTGTCCCAAAAAAACAAGATCCCAGGTGTATTAAACAGATAACATTAGGAACTATTACTACAAAACGATCCTTTTTCAGAAAGGTTGCTTGCCCCACCTGATCTTCTCTTAAGTGAACTCCTGGGTGTCACCTCACCTCCTGGTGCTCTTCCTGGCACAGAGGCCTCCCTTCTGCTCCCATGGCATGCCAAGCTGGTTCCAACTCAGGGAATTCTGTCCTACCTGTTCCTTCTGCCTAGAACCTTCTCTACCACCCCTACCCCTGGCTCCTGCCATACCTGCCATTTTGTCATTCTTTCTATCTCAGCTTAAATGTCACCTCCTCAGAGAGACTTTTCTGGAATCCTATCTCAAGAACCTAAATACCCCAGCCTGTGCCTCTTGGGCCGGGGCCTTACCATCCTGCCTGGCAGCTAGCTAGGTCTTTCTTTTGGCTTATATTCATATACTCCTGATGGGGCTTTGCTGTGTTCAACACCATGTGCCCAACATCTGGCATGGTGCCTAGCACCTAGCAGGTGCTAAATAATAGTTAGCAAATGAACATTGAGACATTACTACTAGAACGAATTTTAGGAATCCTGGGATCCAACCCCATGTTGTACAGATGAGAAAGCCAGGCCCCATGAGATCACGTGTCCTGCCCAAAGTCACACGGCAAGCTAGTGGAAGAGCTGGCATAGAAACCCAGTTGGGGAGCGTGCTTTCCCCACATTGATATGACTGTCCCAAAGGAGGCTGACCTGCCACTGCCAAGTTACCCAGGAGCAGGAGAGCACTCCCTTTTTGGAGGCCAGCCCATTAGACTTTAATCTCTCTGCTGCTCTTCCTTCTCTAAGCTCCCTCTTCCCCGACAGAGCTCTGGGACCTTAGAATTCTCACCTGGCCTCAGCTTGCTGGTTCCAACAGAGTCCGCCTTGCCTTGGCTCGTGTAAGTAAAATGTCACAGAATGGACTTGGGCTCTTTCCCACAGAACCCGAGAGTGTGGCTTTTGTGCCTAGTCAAGGACCCTCGACACAGCTGTGCTCAGAAGTTGTGTCATACACTCAAAAGAGTAATTGCCTGGAAACGAGACTGGCTCAAAATATCTCTAATGTGACAATAAAATTCTGTTACCACAGAATCCAGCATGGAAAATTCTGTCCTGTTAGGTCAGCTAATTGCAAATGAGTCAGTGACTCGTTTTCCCTGTAGTGAAGAGACCATTGAAAGGCCAGTTAGCTGAAGTGCTCACTGCCTTGGCTTGGTCATTAACATGACCAATGAAGCTTCTATTTAGTCTGGTGGGAGTGGCAGAGGCTGGCCCATGGCACCCGCCTCACCTCTCACACTTTACATCCGGTTTCATGCAGGGTCCTTAAGCATGCTGGGCACAAACTCCGGGGTCCAGAGATCTCTGCTGGAATAAGGCACTTTTTGTTGAGGGCCCGTAACAGGAAGTTACCATTCTCTGGATTAAATCATATGCTGTTGCTACTGATTTTAAAAAGGACATAAGTCACCAGTTTACCACCCCTTGAGAGGAGTGTATGAGGGGTGCCTGTGTGCACGTGTGTGTGCCTGCACACACAGTCCAACGTTCATCAGATGCCTATGGCATAAGCCCATCTCAGCTACGACTGACTCTTGGTCTCTTTGGAACCATATTAGGAAGATCTATTTTGAGAAATGACTCTCCACACCAAGGGCTGACTTTCCTACACATGGAGAGGGAAGAAAGAGCCCTTTATTCCTGACCCCTTACCAAATGAGCTGCTACTTGAACAAGGGGTGAAAGGTGGTCCAGTCAGGAGCACAAACTGTTTTCCTATGAAAGGCAGCTCTCACTGTACCAAAGTACTGCCAGAGGGCTCACCCCTAGCCTCTTAGCCTCTTCTCTTAGCCTCTTCTGGAGAAGGATGTAGCTCCCAAAAATTCTTTGTCAGACAGTCCACATCTGCTGAGCTTTGTTTTTTTTTTTTTGAGACAGAGTCTTGCCCTGTCACCCAGCCTGGAGTGCCGTGGGGTGATCTCAGCTCACTGCAACCTGTGCCTCCCAGGCTTAAGTGATCCTCCCACCTGAGCCTCCCAAGTAGCTGGGACTACAGGTGTGTGCCACCACTCTCAGATAATTTTTAAATTTTTTGTGGAGATGAGGTCTCACTACATTGCCCAGGCTGATCTCGAACTTCTGGGCTCAAACGGCCCCCCTACTGGAATTCCTGGGCTCCCAGCCTCCCAGAGTGCTGGGATTACAAGTGTGAGCCACCATCCCCCTGCTGCTGAGGTTTTAAAGTCAGGATTAGTTAAGTTATTACATGTGAAACACTTAGAACTCCTGTGTAGTAAGTTTTCAAAATGTGTCAGCTGTTATTAATGTTATTTTTAGAATCATAGGGTCATGGTCCATTAATGGTAGGAAGAGCCTTAGTGACAAACCATCTGGTTCTACCTCTGGTTTTACAGATGAAATAATTAAGGACAAGAGAAGGGAAATGATCTACTGCAATCACACAGCAACTTAGTAGCAGTCATTCATTCGTTTCATTGATAAGTATTTACTGAGCACTCACTGAGGGCCAAGCTCGGTGCTAGGCCATGGGAATATAATGGGGAGAGAAAAAGGACTTGGTGCTTGCTTTCACAGAGCTAGTACAGTGAGGGAGACAGATCTTAATTATAAAATTACCCTAAATATGATAACTGTGGTGTTACAAAGGATAATAATAAAATGTGTTAACTATGAGCCAGGCCCTGTTCTGACCTTTACTAACTCACTTGACCCTCACTACAACCCTATGAAATAGATACCATAATTATCCTCATTTTTCACATGAGAAAATTGAGGCACAGGGCTAATTGGAGGCAAAGCTGGGATTTGAACCCAAGGAGCCTGGCTCTACAGTCAGAGATCTTACAACACTATCATTGATTGATTTTTTTTTTTCTTTTTGGCCCAAGACGCCAACCCGAAGTACAGTGCCCTAAGCAAACGTTGTAGCACCCAGTGGTCCTGGGTTGGTTTGGGCCAGACTGCTGGAGATTCTGTGAGAGGCAGTAATTAGCTGATAAGGCTTGGCCTCTGCCTTTCAGATGATAAATAAGGGACAGCTTTCCAGTCTAAGTGTGATCAAATGGCTTTTGAGCTCAAGGGCCCCAGTTCCACTATGGCTGCTTGACAGGGTAGAGGTTCTATGAACATGTATTGAATGAGGCTCAGAAAGATTTTGTAGCTATGTACTTGGTCTGGTTTATTTTCTCCTTTCGGTTGGACCTGGGAATGGGGAACCTGGAAAGAGGCAGCTTACTTTGATGTGAACAAGTGCAGCACAGTTGCAATGTTTTTCCAAAATAATTCAAACCTTACACTGTGAAACCTCATTCATCTGGACTAAGTCAGAAGTTATAAGAATCTAAGCAGGGCTGGGAGGCTTACCTTTGTATTACCCAGGAAGAAAGTATGTATTATACAAATAAGTAGTGTAAATAAAGGCATACACATATTCTATTTTGAAAACAAATGACTTAAAATTATTTTGAGCATAGAAATGCTGGGACCCCTATAATTACTGTGCTTCACAGATGTATCAGCCCTCTAAGGAAACCTAGCTGGCATTGATTTGCAGTAGTTTCAGTTACTTTTGTGCTGATGACCAATTGCATTTCTCCAACCATATTGCATACTTGCAATTTTTCTTCCAATTCAGACTGTCCTTTTCCCTGGTGAGTCTGACGTAGTGAATTGTGATATTCAGTTACTCAGAATTGGAACAGCTTGACCCCTGCTCTGGAAAGCTAAAACTAATTAGCCCTGCAGTGGATTTTCTCTATGCTCAACCTTAAACCAAAAAACCAATAAAGGAAAGAAATAAGGTTATCTTGGGGTGTGTGCTTCTCTTTGGCAACTTGAAACTTACTGAGAATAGCAGCAGTAACTTCTTGAATTTACCTTCCACTCTCCAAAACAGTAGTATTCAGTACCACTGGTTTAGCATTGGGATTGAGAGCTAGAGGATTTGCATTTGAGTCTGCTTTGTCCCTTACTGGATGCATGGCCTGGGGCGCATTACCTTCTGAGGCAGTCTACTTATCTTTAAAAACAGTGAAAAGGCTAGGTGCAGTGGTTCACACCTGTAGCCCTAGCACTTTGGGAGGCTGAGGCAGGAGGATCACTTGAGCCCAGGAGTTTGAGACATGCCTGGTCAACATGGCAAGACTTTGTCTCTACAAAAACACAAAAATCAGCTGGGCTTGGTGGCATGCGCCTATAGTCCCAGGTACTAGGGAGACTGAGGTGGGAGGATCACTTGAGCCCCGAAGGTGGAGGTTGCAGTGAGCCAAGATTGCACAGCTGCACTCCAGCCTGGGTGACAGAGGGAGAGCCTATCTCCAAAAATGCCTTCTTGCCAAGGTTGTTATGGCAATTAAGTGAGTCTGTATATTTAAATATGCCTAGAACAGTGCTCTGAATAAATGTTAATGAAAACAAAACAAAGGATACTTTGTCTTTAGACAGTACCTTCCCCCAGAGAGGTACCCCGTTTTGAACACTGACCTCACTCATCAACCTAGGTAGAGACTGATGTAATAAATTTCTCTCCACCCTATTTTACATGTGGAGACTAAGGCATAAACCACGAAGTGTGGAGTGTGTGTGTTGAGGGGAGTGTCAGAGGCACTCGTCTAAGAGTCACAGGGCATGGTGGCGAAGAGCCTGGCCTAGGACCCTTTGGACTCTCACACCTTGTCTGGATTAAAAGGGCCCTTCCGTGGGCTTTCGCGTGTCCTTGGGCCATTCTATTAAGACCAGCTATTAAATGACAGTGTTCCAGTCGGGGACTGTTGTGGCTTCCAGAGCGGGACCTCATGGGCCTTGAGGAGACCTTGGCTTCTTTTTATGGCAATGGCTTTAAAAATATCACCCCAGAAAACCAGCTTCTGCCATTTCATGAGGGGGGATGAGGAAGTGAAGAAGGAGGGAAGACAATGCCCAGAGTTGTAGCTTGATGATGCTGTCTCCCACTGGAGCATAAGCTCTACCAAAGCAGGCATGCTCTGTCTCCTTCTCACTGTGCTCCTAGTGGCTAGTGCAGTGCTTGCACATAGTAGTTACCCAGGAGCCATTTGAGAAATGAATGAATGAATGAGATGCTTGGAGTGTGTGGAGTGATCTAGGCTGTTGCAGCCGTTCTCAGTCATGCAGTGGATCACAGTGAGGAGCACAGAGTGCTCCCAAGAGAGGGAGCTCCTAAGGAGCTGGCATCTCTGTGTGACGCAGTTGGAAACCTATAATGAATGCCCCAGGTGATGATTTAGTGGAATCAACTTCTTGGCTTGTCTGGGGATTAAACCAGGGCTCCCCTTGGTACTGCAGATGGAAATCAAAACAAACACCTGTTTGCCCAGAGTGCCATGTGTTGTGGATACGTTCTCCTTGGTGCCCTCCTTCAGAGACGAGTCTGTGTGCTAACAGCTGATGTAATTACAGCCTCCACGCTAGCGTCCGTCCTGCCATCTCATTCCTAAACTTCTACAAGTGCTTTGGAGCAGAGCCCCCTGCCTCCACCAGCCCCCCTTCTTGGTTCATTCTGAGACCCTGAGAGCTCTCTTTGTTAATCATAGCTCTGATCTTACCACTCCCTAGCTTCCTGTGCCTGCAGAATAGAGTGAGCATGCTCAGCACACCGTACTATTGTTCATGCTGACGCCACCTCCCATGTACTCATCTGCTCAGTGTACACTTAGTGAATGCCTGCATCTGAGAGGCAGCAGGGGGTGGTGCCTGAGAGCCTGGACAGGAGTCACAGCTCCTGGGTTCAACTCCTCAGGCAGGTTACTGTGAGTCTCACTTCCTTTTCTGCAGGGGTTATCCAAGGGATGTGGAGAGTGCTCAGCGCAGAGCCTGGCATATAGCACGTGTTCAGGAGAAGGTAGCTCCTCTTTTTATAGGTGCCAAGTGCTGTGACTTGAGGATACCGGACTTAATCTTTGCCTTCAGGGAGCTTAGGGTCTCTGTGCGTGTCAAACAGGAAAGTTGGTGATGATAACAGGGTGTGAGAAATGCTACTGAGAGAGGAAACCCAGGGAGTGGCACCTAATAAGGTCCTGGAGGAAGCAAGGGGGTACTTTCAGGAATGCCGCAAAGACAGCAAGATGCTTGTCATGAATGCCCAGCAGAAGAAACTGGGGAAGAGACACCCAGCCCGAGGAAACAATATCTACAAAGACACGGAGGAACTCGGCACATCCAAGACAACCACATGAGGGCTGGCATGGCTAGGGGGAGGGAGGGAGTTGGTGAGTAGGCCAAAAAGGTAACGAGTCTTAAGAGACATACTAAGGAATTGAACTTGACCTGGAAAGCGATGATGTGCCAAAGACAGCTAAAGTATCATGGTCAGTTGGGTTTTTTCCGAAAGACTCCTCTAGCTGCAGTGTCGGGGATGAACCAGAGATGGGGCACTTTTTAGAGGCATAGAGATCATCAGGAAGGCTTCTGTCTTCATCTAGGTTCGATATGATAAAGGCCTGAGCTGAGATGAGCACAGAGGGCATACAGAGATACTTAGGACGCAGAGTGGAACTGGCAACCAGTCGGATCAGAGCCAATGCACAGGAAAGTGTTAGACAGATAGGGTGTCCAGCGGTGGTTTTCCAAATGCAGCCAGGTGCCATGGCCTGTCCATTCCCCACAGACCACGGAGGGCTGGTTTGGCTTATTAGACAGTGCGGAGCCCAAGGAGATATAGGGCCTGAGAGTGATTTGAAAAGGGATCCATTTCAGGAGGATTCTTCCGCTTAAGATTACGTGTGTGGGCTGGATGAAAAGAGCAGACATGGGACACCACGAGACCAGTTAGAATGATGTTGAGAGACCAGTCCTGACAAGACTCCATGAGGGTCTGCACCAGGAGAGTGGTGATGGGAAAGGAGACCCAAGGCCCAGGGTGAGGGTAGCTGCCCGAAAAAGGGCAGCAGACATGCGGCTGATTAGATCTTGGCATGAAGAAGTCAAAGAGAGGATAGAATGAAAAACAAACTGTTTAGCAACCAGGCATGTGAGAGCAAATGGAGCATGAACGCTGGCCGAGCACCCACTGTGGGCCAGCCATTGGAGGCCAGAAATGACGCTGATGAAAAGACTGTCCTCTCCTTGGGGACATACACGCTGCACACACAGCATGCATAACAGTTTACGAACTGTGTTAACCAGATTTGGCACCAAGTATACCAAGGTCTGGGCAAGAAACCAGGACCACTGACTCACCTGTGCAGAGCTCCTGTGGTAAGGGGCATAGTGGAGTGGCCCGGAGATGGCTGTGTCATGAGGGAGGGCCGGATACTGGCTCTGCATGGGGTGAGGATGCTGGTTGCCATAGCTCCCATAGTTATAGCTTCCCGTGTATCTAAAATGCATCAAGCACATTGAATAGTGTGAGTAATAGCAAGAACAGATCAGTTTGACAACTTTTTAAAAACCTCATCTATGTTTTTCCTTTTTCTTTTTTTCTCTCTTTTCTTCCCCCTTCACCCCCCAACCCCATTTTTCATTCTTTCGTCTTTTTTTTTTTTTTTTTTTTGAATCAGAGTCTCATTCTGTTGCCCAGGCTGGAATGCAGTGGCATGATCTTGGCTTACTGCAACCTCCGCCTCCTGGGTTCAAATGATTCTCCTGCCTCAGCCTCCTGAATAGCTGGGATTACAGGTGTGCGCCACCACGCCCGGCTAATTTTTGTATTTTTAGTAGAGATGGGGTTTCACCATGTTGACCAGGCTGGTCTCAAATTCCTGACATCAGGTGATCCAACCACCTTGGCCTCCCAAAGTGCTGGGATTACAGGCATGAGCTATCGCGTCTGGCCTCTTCCTTTTGATTCTTACCATTTCCACTTTTGTGGCCTTGTTATGGTTAACTTAAAACCCCAGGCTGATTTTCCTATTCCTTCAACACCTAGAACATACCTCCCTTCCCCCAGCCAGCGTTCAGAGATGAAATCTAGCCCTGAGCCAAACATCATTAGTGATGGAAACCTCTACTCCTGCTGTGTTTAAAAGCCCTGTTGTATCCTGGAATCAAATAGGGATAACAAAAAAGAAACCACTGTGAGATTTATGTTTTTATATCACTCAGGCCTCTGCTTCCACATCATGGGGAAGGATATAGTGGGGTTCTGTAAGCTGTCTCCTGGGGGGATAACACCATGGCATGGTCAAACAGGCATCAAAGACCCCGGTTCTAAGCCAGACTCCACCACTTTCTAGCTGTGACTTTCACGACCCTGTTTCTCACATCCATAAAAATACTGTGCACGGTCATTCTGAGGATCATATGTGTGAACACACTCTATAAACCAGAAAGTCCTGTGTAGACATAGCCTATTATTATCACTGTTCTTCTTAGTAACATCTTTATAGCAAAGATGCTGACCTATGACCATGTGAGTATTTTTTCTGCTATTTCTGCTGAATCAAAAATCTCTCTGAAACAGGGTTTTCAGAGTCTATTCTAAATATGTGGAAATACTCTCAAAGGCCTCCTGAGAAAATAATGGCTGCCCGATTGACTGCTTGGGAGCACTTGAACCTATGGAAAAGTACACCAACATCCAGGCCTGTGCACACTGTCAGGTCACCGCTGTGCTGCACTATGCTGGGCCAACTGTGGAAGGGACCTGAGAGGTCCTCCCCCTCCTCCTCTCATGTACCCCACAACTGGTCTGTTGGAACCTGGCCTGGGAGTGGTCAGGCCCACTGCACCACATGGTAGGATCTCTCTCTCTCTCTCTTTTTTTTTTTTGTTTTTTGAGATGGAGTATTGCTCTATTCTCCAGGCTGGAATGCAGTGGTGCGATCTCAGCTTACTGCAACCTCTGCCTCCTGAGTTCAAGCAATTATCCTGCCTCAGTCTCCTGAATAGCTGGAGCTACAGGCGCCTGCCACCACGCCCATCTAATTTTTCTTTTTTTGTTTTTTTGAGATGGAGTCTCCCTCTGTCGCCAGGCTGGAGTGCAGTGGTGCAATTTCGGCTCACTGCAATCTCTGCCTCCTGGGTTCAAGCAATTCTCCTGCCTCAGCCTCCTGAGTAGCTGGGACTATAGGCGCGTGCCACTACATCCAGCTAATTTTTGTATTTTCAGTAGAGATGGGGTTTCACCATGTTGGCCAGGATGATTTCGATCTCCTGACCTCGTGATCCACCCGCCTCGGCCTCCCAAAGTGCTGGGATTACAGGCATGAGCCACCGCGCCTGGCCCATTTTTGTATTTTTAGTAGGGAGACAGGGTTTCATCATGTTGGCCGGTCTGGTCTCAAACTCTTGACCACAAGTGATCCACCCACCTTGGCCTCCCAAAGTGCTGGGATTACAGGTATGAGCCACTGTGCCCAGTCAGGATCCCTTTTTAATATCCTAAGTGCTTTTCAGATCACTGCTCATTAGACATTGAAAGGTTAGTGTCTTTTGATAAAGACAATGCATAATGGCAAAGAACTACGAGGATTCAAGTAACACTTTTGTATGGATTTGTAGTTCATTCATCACAGCAACATCACTCCACACATTTGAAAAATATATACGTATGGGCAAAACAAATGATGCATCTTTCCAGGGCATAAAGCACCGCTAGAACCTATGGGGAATCCCCTGAACCTCATGAATAACTGCAGCCCTAAAGGGACCTCCAGCCCTCAGGTGAGGAAGCCCTTCTCTAAGTGGAATCATGAAAGACTTGAACCTAAGATGACGCTCTGTAAGTCTGCAATTTGTACAAAGAGCCAGCCAGGAGAACTGCTGAAAGGGGTTTTCAGCTGAGGCGTTAAAGGAGTGAAGAGGGAGGAACACAGGCTTTGGAGTCAGATATGTGCTCAGTTAGGTCCCACCATGTGCCAGCTGTGTGACCTTGGGGAACTGAAGAGAACCAAGTTTCAATTTTCTCATCTAAAATGGGGTCACTAACACCTTCTTACCTACCTACCTACCCTGGTTGTTGTGGGGATTACACAATACAGTGCTCACGATATTGTGGGAACTCAGCAAAGGGTAGCACCCTTCCTGTTCTTTGAGAAAACAGCTGTTAAGGAAACCCCTCTTTAGATCTTTTTTTTTTTTTTTTTTTTTGAGACGGAGTCTCGCTCTGTCACCCAGGCTGGAGTTCAGTGGTGCAATCTCGGCTCACTGCAACCTCTGCCTCTCAGGTTCAAGCAATTCTCCCACCTCAGCCTCCCAAGTAGCAGGGATTATAGGTGTACGCCACCATGTCTGGCTAATTTTTGTAGTTTTAGTAGAGACAGGGTTTCACCATGTTGGCCAGGCTGGTCTCGAACTCCTGACTTAAAGGCCCACCTTGGCCTCCCAAAGTGCTGGGATTATAGGGTGTGAGCTGCTGCACCCATCCTCTTTAGATCAAATTTTAAAAGTCCAGCAGCATCCCTAGAAAGTTACCTACCCATGTTCCTCTCTGTGGGGATAAACTGGTATCCTGTGTGTGACGGAGGAAGAAGGCACATGAGTGTTCCTCATACAGGGCAGCTGTTGGGAGTTCTCAGCTGGGGACCCAGCAGCCGTCGTCACTGTGTATGTGAGAGACCACGTGTATGACTGCATTGCTCCTGCAGAGACAAATTAAGACGTCTCGATCATTAACAGTTCTCACATCCCTTGTTCTTCCTTACTTTAGTGGCTTCCCTTTGTTCTTAAGTTGAAGGCCAAAATCTTTACAAGACATGTATCTCTGACTCTGCTGAGCTCACCAGAGGCATCCCCCATCCCCTGTCTTTGTTTTATCTGGTCCAGCCACATTATCTTTCATCGTCTCCAGAGCACCACAGTTCCCAGCACCTCGGGGCCTTTGCACATGTTTCTGCTGCCTTATTACCCATTCATTCTTCCTCTCACAGTCCAAAAAGCTGTCGTCTTCCCAATCCCAGATTAGGCCAGATCCCTCACTGTACTGTAGGCCTAAGTGGTACCTACTGCAATTTGTAATCCTACACCCATTAGTGAATGTGATTTGATTAATGGTCCCCTCACCAGACAGAAAGCACCAAGAGGGTAGGGGCCTGGCCAGGATTTTGGCCACCAGTGGATTCCCAGTGCTTAGTACAAAGCCTGGCCGCCAAAAGACTCAATAAAAATTTTAGAAGGGAGAAAAGGGAAGGGAAAGATAAGAAGAAAGGAAGGGAGGGCCAGAAGGAAAAGGAAAGCCTGGGGAAATACAGCCTAGATAGGCACTGCCAATTAACTTTTCAGTGCTTAACTCAACAGGTGTTAAGGATCCAACAAATTGCTTTAAGCAAACATAAGTAGATTATTGGGATCTGCCAGCTCAGGTCTTTTTGAAGATTATTAGACAGTGGCCTGGACAGTGACCTATTCTATACAAATTATGAATTCCCTTTGTCTATTTTTTAATTTAATTGGATACCTTGAAAGTGCTAAAGACTGGGGGATAAAAACCTGACAAAATTCAATGCTTAATATTGTATGAGATGGTTAGTTTTTTGTTTTTTGGTTTTCTTGAAACAAGGTCTTACTCTGTCACCCATGCTGGAGTGCAATGACATGATCATGGCCCTCACTGCAGCCTTGACCTCCTGGGCTCAAGAGATCCGTCCACCTCAGCCTCCCAAGTAGTTGGAACTACAGGTATGTACCACCATGCCCAGCGAAGTTTTAAATTTTTTTTTTTTTTTTTTTTTGAGACGGAGTCTTGCTCTGTCTCCTAGGCTGGAGTGCAGTGGCACAATCTCAGCGCAGTGCAACCTCTGCCTCCTGGGTTCAAGCGATTCTCCTGCCTCAGCCTTCTGAGTAGCTGGGATTACAGGCGCACACCACCACACCTGGCTAATTTTTGTATTTGTAGTAGAGACAGGGTTTTGCCATGTTGGTCAGGCTGGTCTCGAACTCCTGACCTCATGATCTTCCCGCCTCAGCCTCCCAAAGTGCTGGGATTATAGGCATGAGCCACCGTGCCCGGCCTTGAAATTTTTTATAGACACAGGGTCTCACTATGTTGCCCAGGCTGGTCTTAACTCCGGGTCTCAAGTGATCCTCCCACCTCAGCCTCCCAAAGTGCTAGGATTAGAGGCATGAGCCACCACTCCTAGCCTAGAATTTTTTTTTAATGATAATTTAATAAATCATTAACAGCAATATTAAACTCATCAGACAACTTAATTTCTGATAAATTTTAAAATATGTTAATATGGTGGAAATAATCAAGCTTGTTTTAGAAGGCAGAGGGAATGGGATCCAACATCCCCCTTTAGGTACATGGAAAACTGAAGAATTTAAGGGAGGACATTTTTAAGGTGAAGTAAAAGAAAATTTGATCTCCCGTTCTGTATTTTCTCCAGTAGACCATTTCTATCTAAAAATTCCTCTGGGAAGATAAAGGAAAGGTTTTCATTTTAAAAATTAGTCCATTCCATCCCAGGGACTTTGCAAATAGCATATGAGAGGAGCTGCATTGACATGGAGTAGTGGGAGGAAGCAGAGTTGGTGGATCAGCGCAGTGCCAGTTATGTGACAGAGACTCGGTAAGGAATACCCTTGAAGAAATGTGGAAATGGTATCCTATTTTAAATACCTTGGCTTGTTGTTAAAAGAACCCTTTGGTGAGCCCTTTCATAAATTGAAGAATCTTTTGGAATGCAAATAATGTCCTTTGTTGTAATGAGGTGGCAAAGATTTATTCCAAGAGTATGAAAGGAGACACCATTATTGAGCATCTCTTACAGACCATGCAGTGTGCTGAGTGCTTGTCACACACCCTTAAAAGAACATTATCTCCCATTTTATAGGTGAGGAAACTGAAGGTTAAATCCAAAACAATTTAAGGGAGTGTATAGCAATATAAAAGATTCGAGACAATAAAATGGAAGTGGGAATGAAAGAAGAAAGAAAAGCAGAATTGGAGGCAAAAAGTGCAGTCGGAATGAGGTGAAACATGCCGCCCAAATTCTTCCTATATGTGAATTTTAAACTTAGATACGAGTTTTCCAGGAGCCAGTGCTCCTGGAAACCTGGATAGTTAGGAGCACTAAGATTGACGATTGCTCGGGAGTATACTGTCCTCCATATTCAGAGCAAACAGAAATATCTTTAACTATGAACTGTTCAACAATGTCCTCAACACCCTTACAATGGACTTCATCTTAATTCTAAGGATGGTTCCTTTTGTCAACACTAACTGCAGGCTAATGGCATCACACAAAAGTCCAGTTCGAGGAAACTTAGAATGTTAAATAACTTGCCCAAGGTGCTGGAGTTGGTGGGTGGTTCAGTTGGGCTCCGAACCCAGACACTTTCTGCCACACACTTTCTACTCTCTACTGTCATGTCTCTTTGCTCTGGGTTCTGGTTCTGCCAGGTGCTAGCTGTAAGATCTTGGGCAAGCCTGTTAAACTTTATGAGCTTCTGTTTCACCATCTTTAAAACAGGAGTAACAATATCTATCTTGCAGGACTGTTGTGAGGGTTAACTGAGATAATATATGTCAGAGATCTTGGCATGTTGTAGGCTTTTAATGGTATTCAAGCACTCTTCATTGCGAATTCAGGTATTCTTACATGAAAACTTCTTAAAATAGATATTTCTGTATATCTCATTTCAGACCCCAAGGAAGAAAGGCAAGTTTCTTGGGTGAGATTCTATTACCAGTGATGAAACATTTGAATAGCAACGGTAATTTGGCCAATTACGGCAAATTTCCTAACATGTTTTTCTATAAAATTACTAGTGTCCTTACTCACCAGCACAGCCGAAAGTACCCCTTCCTGCTTTGCACATCTACTCCATATTCTTCCCCCAAAAGATAATGACTTTAGCAGGCTTGATTTGTAAGGCTTGATAATGATTTGTCAGGCTTGATTTATAAGTACAAGAAAATGGGAAGGGAAGATCCCCAAAATGATCACGACTTAGATGACTGGATTATGCATAATTGCCCTCCTCTATGTTTTGAACTTCATGTGAAATTATATTACTGTTATAGTTTTTAAAAAGTCATGTTTATTAAAACAGATTATCATTAGTGGTGGGATTGAGGAGAGTTTTAAAATGTTTTCCCTTATTTTACTTATCTGTATTTTTCTGTAATGAATGTGTATTGCCTCTGTAAAAAGAAAAATATGAATACATTAAACAAAGTTTAGAATTGGAAATGGAATCGGAGAGGGTGGGCAGTTTGGGAGAACAATGAACCAGCCCCAACAAGCGAGTAATTAACCCTTAAAGCCTCTGGGACCTCAGGGGAGCACAGCGAGGTCAGTGGATATTTAAACGGGACAGCCAAGGAAACCAAAGAATTTTTTTTTCCAAGCAGTGGGAAGAAGTCATGATAATAGCCATCACCTGAGAGAATGCAACAGAAGTTACTTTTGTGTGAGCCCCTGGAGCACAGCAACTGTTCCTTATTCATCTCTGTATCCCCAACAGAGGGTGTGCCAAATAGTAGGTGTTCAGTAAATTTTCGTTCCATTGAATTTGTTGTTGAAGGAGTAAATGCTGCTAGAAATAGACGTTATCAAACAAAAAGCTAGTGGAACTCTTGGAAAAATGGGCTCCTGTGGTCTGGGGAACAAAACCCCTAAATGGCCATGTGCCAGCAATCTAACACATCCACTCAGGCAGGCTTAAGCAGATTAACACCTACTGGCTTGGGTGAGAAACCCTTTTTGCCTGGGGAGCAGAAAAGAACACCCCTTGAATTCCCTTTCCTACCAGTGAGACCTCCAGTGAGAATTGCTGCTGCTGCTTTTTTAAGGAAGCTAATAAAAGAAAATCTGTGCAGCTTACAGTTTGTGCTTAGTTTTTAAGACAAGTCTAATGCTTTTTATTTGTCGGTAAAACAATAGCAAATCTTCCCTATTTGTTCAATTCCTATATTTTTCTCTTATTCTCCCCTTCCCTCCTCACATTTCTATTTATTTAAAGGTCTGAGGATAGCGGTGGAAGCCCCTGATATTTGAGAATCCTGTAAAGATCCCAAGAGAAGCAGTTGTTGGTCACCTTACAGTATTGAAACTGCTATAGGGGAACATTTTCTTCCCCTCCCATCCCCAACAAAACACTCTTCTTCCCCAAGGTTGCTTTGTTTTGGAACAGGTTTTAAGCATAGGACAGGAAGGGTGCTCGGAATATAATAGACAGTCAGTAATGATTTGTCAAATAAATGAATTAATGATCATCTAACATAAACCAGATCTCTTGCTCATTTCCTTTTATACATTGACCCATTCAGTCTTCACAACAACCTTTTGAGGTAGGTAGTATTACCTTCTTTTTCAGGTGAGAAAATTGAGGCCCAAGAGGTTAAATGACTTGCTCAGGTAAGTGGCAGAGTTGGGATTTGAATGTGGGTCTGCCCAACCCCAAACCCTTTCCATAGCAGTGTTTCTTACACTTGAATGTGTATTTGAATCATGGAGATCTTGTTAAAAATGCAGATTCTGATTCAGTAGGTTGGGAGTGAGGCCTTTATATCAGACTTCTAAATGATGACAATGTGGTTGGTCGGTGAACCACACTTTGAGTAACAAGGCTCTATAACATACTGCCTCATGTCACACATCCTGTATGTTAAGGGCCATTAAAAATCCAAGTTGGC